GGAACTCAGGTCCCATCCAGCGTGGAGGAAAACGTTACTCTCGCATCCGGTTCAGTGCTCAGGTTCTCCCTTCCAGCCAGGGCTGGCCGCGCTTCCCTCTGTGCACCCCTTTCCCCTCTTGGGGTTGCCTCTCTCCTCTGACATGGGGGGCCCTGGCATGCGGGACTCTATCGGGTGCTCCAGTGGCCTCGCTCAGCCAGCCCCGGCTCGCCGCTGAGGCCCCTGCGTGGCAGGCACCAAATATCGGTGCTTTGTTCCTACGGCACATGTGTGGTGAGCGCTCACCCCGGGCCAGGCGGGTGCTGGCGCTGTCATGGTGATTGTGTGTGTGTGTGTGTGTGTGTGTTTTGAGACAGAGTCTCATTTTGTTGCCAGGCTAGAGTGAGTGCCATGGCGTCACCTAGCACAAAGCAACCTCAGACTCCTGGGCTCAAGTGAATCCTCCTCTCAGCCTCCCGAGTAGCTGGGATGACAGTGCATGCGCCATCCAATGACCGGCCAATTTTTTTCTATATATATTAGTTGAGCCATTAATTCTCTTTTATTATATAGTAGAGACAGGTCTCGTTCTTGGCTCAGGCACTGTGTTTGAACTCCTCTGACCTTTGAAGATGATGCCACCTGCCTCGTCTCCCAGAGTGCTGGGATATACCAGGCGTAGAGCCTACCACGCCGGACTTGTTATTGGTGAATTAAACACACGAGGTCCCAACCCGCATAGAGCATGTCTGCGTATGAGACAAACTTACCAGCAGGAGAGGAGAGTGCGCGATGAGAAGTGCACGGGTGCTGTGGCCCAAAGCACGGTGGGAGGAGGAGGGTCATGGTGTCGCACGCGAGTCCGAGGTATGGGGTGGGAGGCCTGGCGGGTCACGCACTTGCAGAAAGGCCTGATGAGTGAGCCAGATGGAGGTCGGGAACAGCCAGTGCAAAGGCCCTGAGGCAGGGGTGTGCTGGGCGTGTCTGAGGAAGCCCAGGAGAGTGATCAGCTGGTCAGAGTGGAGTGAGCAGTGAAGAGGGGAGTGTGGTGGCATGAGGTGGGCTGTTGGGGGCTACGGGTCTCCCAGGTTAGCATGTGAGTTCTCTGGGGAGCCATTTGGGGGCCTCACAACTACAGAGCCCCTGATCTGGGGGATCTGACCTGTCTTGACCTCTTCCATTCCCCGCCCTACTCCCCTCTTCTCCTAAAGCGTTCCACCCTGCAGCTTCTTGGGGCTGGGGACTCCTTGCTCTGCAAGCAGCCCCCTTAGGGGGTGCCAGCAAGACCCAAACATGGCCCCTTCCTCCTCGTCCACTTGACCCTTGAAGAAAAACTCCCAGTCCTTGCATGGCAGAGGTGGGAGGGCCAGCTGTCTCCCTGCCCACCCCACCCGCGGTCCCTCACTGGCCATGCCTTCATCTGTCATAGTAAGACCTCCCCTTCGCGGGCAGCGGAGTTCTGCACGTGGTTCTCCGGGAACAGGCTCATTCGGTGTGTGGGGAGAGCCGGGCAGTCGGGGGCAGGGGTGCGGCTGACGGCTGGGGGAGCAGGGCCTCTGCCTCGGAGAGGGGTCTGCTCCCTCCACCCCGTCCACAGTGGCTGGCTGCAAACTTGGCGCCGTCAGTGCCTCTTGGTTCTCAGTCTTGGATCCGGAAGATCAGGAACAGCCTCCCTCGGCTGCCCATTTTACAGACAAGGAAATGGAGGCTTGGCGCGATTAAGGCACTCGCTCAAGGGCCCGTAGGTGGTAAAGGGCAGGGCTGGGGTTTGAACCCACAGTCTGGCTCCAGATCCTTACCCAGTCCTCTCTGGATCAGTCCCTCAGACGCAGACCCTGAAATGAGGGTTTGGGCACAGCTGCTATGAAGGGAATCTTCCAGAGGAAACCAGTAAGGGACAGGGTGAGCTGGTCAGAGGAGACCAGAGATGCACGGGTGTGGTCTCAGGCCCAGTCCTCGCCTGATCCTGGGGAGGGAGGGGGGACACTGGAGTGTCAGCACAGCTGAATTTCCTGATCCCAAAGGAGCTGGGGTCCTGCACCTGCTGGTCATTGGGCTGCTCCAGGTGGGCCCAATAGAGATTCTCAGGTGTTTTCAGCTCGGTGGCCCGTGTGGACAGAGCCACAGGTGCTGCCTATTGTAAGCAAAGCACATGGGTGCCGGGGTGGGGCACAAACCAGGAGGAAGGAATTAGGTGGAGCCCCGTGCTGCTCCCTGACCCCCAGCGACAGTCTGGCCTGGAGTGTGAAGTCCCTGTGCCGCTGGGCAGAGAGTAGAGCACACAGGCTGTGCTGCCCAGGGAGAGTGGGCAGGGGTGGGGCATGGCGGGGTGGAGGGGACAGATCTGCAGTGGACGTCATGGACGTCAGAGTCGGCCCACGGGACAGCACCAGGGAGACTCCTAGAGTTGTAGCTGGTGCAGCAGGGTGGACACTTACACCATTTTCTAAAATTGGGCAAAGGGGGCAAGAGGGACATGGGTTTGGAGGGTTCTGTTTTGCCCATGTTTGCTTGAGATGCCACTGGGCATCCGTGTGGAGAGTTGGAAATTCAGTCTCGAGCTCAAGTGAAAAGTCAGGGCGGGGGTGGGGAGGGGGGTGCGTGCCCGGGAGACCTGGGGGGAGACAGTGCAGAGGGGCCGGGACAGAGGCATGGCGCAGGCTAGCGGGGAGGTGAGCCAGGAGAAGCCAGGAGGGGACCCTGGCAGCAGCCAGAGAGGCAGCAGGGGCCGGGAGGAGAGGGTGGCAGGCTGGGCAGGGTCCTGGGCTGCAGAGAGTCCAGGGAGAGGAGGCTAGAGCTGTCCCCACTCGCCTTGGCCACATGCAGGTTCCTGGCAGCTTGGCGAGGGTTGCGGGGAAAGCCTGCCTGGGTGGGCGGAGGAGAAAGTGGGAGAGGAGGACACAGAGGTCGTGGGCAACCGTCTGTAGGTCTGGCCGTGAGGGGTGTAGAGGAACAGGCAAGTCGCTGGAGGGAAGCAGTGGCCAGAAGGTTTTTAAAAGTCGGGAGATACTTGGGCTGCTTGGCTGCTGGTGGTGACCCCGTGGTTTGGGGACTTGCTGAGGACAGGGAGAGAGGACGCAGGAGAGGGCCCCTGAGCAGAAGAGGCCTCGTGTCGCGTGTGATCCTGACAGACTCCAGGCTGCTGGAGTTGAGAGGGAACCCAGGGGACAAGGGAGAGAGCAGAGCCCGGGGTGGAGGGCAGGGTGGTCCGGCCCCTGGATGGAGCAGGGACGGCTCTTCCTTTGTTACAGGAGGGAAAGGAGGTGACGTGGGCAAAGGTCGAGCAGGGTGGCGATTTGGGGTGGAAAGATCCAGGCGACGCCTTCCCAAGGCTTCTGGGCCCAGTGAGGGATGGGGGAGGCCCCTGGCGGGGCCGGTGGGGCAGCGTTGAGGTCCGAGAGGGAAGGACCCGTGCAGTCTGCAGGAAATGGAGAAGTAGGATTCGGGGCAGTGCCGTGCACGACTGACCGCGACCGGTGATCACCAGTTTCAGACGAGGCCAGTGATCTTCTCCAGCCACATTCAGCTCCTCATCCGGGCACAGAGCAGGAGGGTCAGAGGCCAGGGCGTCTGCCGGCAGAGCACAGAGGACAGGCGGGGACAGCTGGGCCGGAAGGCAAGCCGGGAGGGACGTGAGACGCTAGTGGGAGAGTCGGAGGAGGCGTGGATCGAGGTCTCCGGGAGTTCGAGAACTGCTGCACTGCGGCGCTAGGATTAGTGGAAATGGGGGACAAAGAAGATGGGGCCAGTCACTAATTCCTGCCACCGAGGGGGGCCGGCTTGAGCACACTGTGTAAGCAGGAGAGAGCCAGGCTCTTCTAAGCTCCTCCTGTCATCTTATTTCCTTCCAGATCTGTTCACAAGTGCCCACAAGGACGTCCCCATGCCCCGGGGCATGGACGCCCTGAACCCAGACCTGCCCTCCGGCCACCCACCGTCCATTGCTCCAGACCATGTCACTGGCAAGGTAACAGGTCCTCATCCCTGCTCCTGCTGTGCCCGGTGCCCGCCTGTCCCCCACAGCTCTTCACAGGGAACAGACACCATTCCAGTCACCTCCTTCCCTGCCAAACCCGGCCTCTCCCCGTGGGATCAGGGCCAGTGAGGTTTGCATTGGGCAGGATGAGGGTCCGGATAGGACGGAGCATCCAGGGATTGGACCAGGCTTGCTTAGAAAAGACTGTCCGCCCCGAAGGTCCTCCTGTCCAAATTAGCTCAGCCTAGCAGGCCACACGTTCCACTACCAGCCCAGACTCCTTAGCAGGCTCACGAATAAAAGGAATGGAATTCTCAGTCCAGACAGGATAGGAAGATGTTGCCAGGGGCCCCAAATCCTGGTGCATAATTTCTAACCTTGCCCCAGGGGCCGTGGTGTGAACCTAGCAGTTGATATAATTACCTCCCCGCCCAGCACACACCACCTGCTAAGCACTTTGCCTACTTTAAGTCTTTTATGTTTCGCCACAACCCGCAAGGTAAACGGCATTGTCACCATCTGACAGAGGAAGACACTGGTGTCCTGAGCTGTTAAGGCCAGTCTAAGGATGCCCAGCTAGGAAATGGCAAAGTGAAAACCCAAACCCAAGTCTGCTCTAAAAGCTGCACCTGCCGCCCCTCCTCCCAAGCGCCACCACCGCCCCCTCCTGTCTCTGCAAGCCAGGGACGCCAGCACATGACCCCTGACCCTGGTCGGGCAGACCCCGACCTCATGGAGCACCAGTGGGCTGATCCCCCTCCCCGGGCTCCAGGACTCGTGTCATCTGCGGGCATAGTAGGGCCCTGCCTGAGCCTCTTCCCCTCTTGTTTCAGGACAAACAGATGGATTTCTGTTGGGATCCTTGGCAGGTCAGCCCGTTTTCCTGTCCCCCAGTCTGGCCCGCCCCAGCTGACACCATTGCCCCTCCCTCTGCTGTGCCCAGCCCAGGCGCACTGTCCTGCCAGCCCTGGGGGAGGGGGTCCGAGGACAACCGTGGTGGGGGCGGGGCTGTGGGAGTTGGAGGTATCTGCCTGGCTTTGCCTGCCCTGTCCCTGCCCAGAGGGAGTGGTCCTGCGGGGAGATGGCATCTGGTGGTCTGCCCCACCCTGCTCTCCCCTCCCCCTTCCTCTAGAGGTGCTTCCAGACCACCAACGGCTACCTGTCCAACTCCAGATCCTGCTCCAGCAACTACAACGTGGCAGCCCTGGCCACCTCGTCCCTCGTGGGTAGGTTCCAGCTGCCCCTCTCCTGCCCTTGGAGTTTGCACGGGTCCCTTGCATCCCCCCATCGCCCCACACACACTAGCCGTGGGGAGAGCAAGGCTGAGCTGCAGCTGGGAGGACTGCAGCCTGTTCCTAAATGCCAGGCTCCATGCGGGGTTCTGCGGGTCACCGCGGGGACCAGTGACTTGGGGTTCCTGCTCCATGGGTTACACTGCTGGGTTCTCAAGCAGTTCCGAGGGGGTGGGCCAGAGTGTTATGATGTCACTCTGGCGTGGTCTCCCTGCCTCTCTGACAGCCACGTCACCTTAAGTCGGGTTCCCTGGACGCAGGGGCTGAGATGGGAATTGATTCGGGGAGGGGCTCTCAGGAGAAACCCACAGGGAGCCAGGGAAGCAGGGGCCGGGCAGGGGGCCCGCAAAGACGTGGCTGCAGGAGTCTAGCCTTTCCCAGCCTGACCCCTTGGGAGCGTGACCGGCACCACAGAACTGATGGCACTTGAAGGCAAGATGTCTGGACTCATGTCCCCCACTGGTCAGTCCCTGGCCGTCCCTGGGGGTGGACTGGGCCGCTGCCATTAGCTCAGGGCAGGTCTCTGGAGCAGGGCGCAGGTGTGAGCCCACAGCAGCGACACCTGAGCAGCCAGGCATGGGCACGCTGGCCAGGAGAGGGGATCTGGGCGGCTACTATGGCATCTGCCCCAGGTGGCCCCCACCCGGCCTTCGGGCTGGTGTTCTCAGACTGCTAGCCTCTCTGCCCCTCCGGCTCCCCCCAACACCCTGCAGGGCTCCAGAGAGAGCCCCTGTGGCCCTGCCTGCCCACGTGGGCCTGTGCTGTTTCCCGCCCTGAAACACCTGCTGTCCCCTCACCTGCGGTGACACCACCACGTCCTCCACACACCGTCTCTGATGCCAACACTCTTCAACTGGGGGGTCTCCCCTTCTCCCTCACCCCCATCTTTCCCATTTTCTCAGCTCTGGTTTCCCTTGTTCAGACCCAACTTTCTTAAATCTTATCATTCCTCACATCACGGCTTCGGGGACCCTGGTGACACCCAGCTCTGTGTCCTCGGCCTTGGGTAATAGAGATGCTGTGTCATTCCTGACTGCCCCTCTCCATCACCGTCCACACCCAACAGGTCCACTCCTCCAACGGCCCCTGACCCTCTAAGCAGGGTGCACTTCCCCCATGGGGCTCTCCCCGTCACCTCCTGCTCGCTTCCCCGCGGTGGCTCCAGTTGCTGTACCGGCATCCGCGCCCTCGGCCTGGCTGTCTCGGCCCCGGCCCTAGCGCTGCCCCAGGTCCCCCCACCTCCCGGTGGGCCTGGACTCACACCAGGCTCTTCCTGCCTCATCCTCTTCTGGTCCCTGAGACAGCCCAGTCTCGCCTCCGTCTGTCCAAACCCAACCCACCTTCCAAGCGCAACGCCAGGCCCCTCTCCCAGGAAGCCTCCCCTGCCTGCTGCCCTCACCCCGGCCTCACTCATGCTCAGCGGGGCTGGTCCTGCCGGGGATGCTAATTAACGGAGCGCTAATTAACGGATAGCGGGGAGGGCTGAGGGATCATGGTGGTCCTTGAGTGGATCTCTGGGGGCAGAAGGGTCTGAACTTGGTCAGAAAGGGAGTGAGGGGTGTGGCCGGTCTGGGGAGAAGCACCCAGTGGGCGGGAACATTGACCAGGAGAGGGACACTAGGAGGGAGTGGGCCTGCCAGTGGGAGGGGACGTGGAGTATGATGGGGGCCATAGAGCTTGGGGGCACGGGGCACGGGGTGGGGACGAGGTGCTGGCTGCACGGGGGCATCGGGCAGGTACAGGCATCGGGCAGGTACAGGCATTGGGGGGTGCAGGGCCTGTGCCAGGGCGGTCGCCCACTGCCCTCCGTGCCCCCAGGCGTGGTGCAGAGCATCAAGGACCACATCACGAAGCCCACGGCCATGGCCCGAGGCCGCGTGGCCCACCTCATCGAGTGGAAGGGCTGGAGTGCCCAGCGGTCGGGCTGGGAGCTGTCCCCGGCCGAGGACGAGCATTACTGCTGCCTCCCGGACGAGCTGCGCGAGGCCCGCTTTGCGGCAGGTCAGTGCCGGGGCCCTGCAGGGGCGAAGCTGGGTCCTCAGGGGACCCGGGTCACCATGTGGGCGTTGTCTGGCAGGGAAATAATGGCATGGTGTGGACGGGGCATTTAGTGGGCGCTCTTGGTCACCGGGCACGGATGGGCAGCCCAGAGCGGGGGCCTCTGTCCAGCCTGTCTCGGTGCCAGCCCGTGCTGGCACTGAGCCCCCCGACCCGTGCCCCACGGAGCCGGGTCTTGCCGTCCCCGCAGGGGTTGCTGAGCAGTTTGCCATCACGGAGGCCACGCTGAGCGCCTGGTCCTCGCTGGACGACGAGGAGCTGCAGCTCGGGAGCAGCCCCCGGGACGCCGTCCAGCTCCAGGGTACGGCCCCGCGGGTACCAGGGGGTGGCTGGGGCAGAGCTGAGGCCGGGTGCCTGCTGTGCCACCAAGTGCGGTGTGACCTCAGGCAAGGCCCTTCCTGCCTTAGTTTCTTTATCTGTAAAACGGGACCAGTCGTCCTTGCCCTGCCGCGTGCATGAAGGGGCGAATACTCACAGTGGATAATGTGAATTAAGTGCTCCTTGCGCTAAGGGCTGTGCACGAAGTCCTCACGACAGCCCTAGGAAGTAGGACCTGAGGTCCCCATTTTACAAATAAGGAAACCGAGGCACTGAGAGGTTCAGAAATTCGCCCCGATTGCACAGCTAGAGACGTCAGAGCCAGGATCTGAAACTTACGACCAGGCACAACCAACCACCTTTCCAGAACCCGGTTCCTACTGAGGGCCCCAGGGAGCCTGGGTCCCGGGTGAAGCCTGCGTGTGCACTATCGCGTTTAACCCTCCCTCTGACCAGGAGGGGAGGGACAGGAGGGGACAGAGGCCCAGGAGGAGCCCTGGTTTTCCCAGTTCTCGGAGTGCACAGGCTGGCTCCTAGCTTACTCCTAACTACTCCACTTACTGTCTCAAGGAGGAAACTGGGTTCAGAGAGGTCCAGTGACTTGCCCAAGGTCACACAGCTCAGCAGTGACACTGGGATTTGGAGGCAGGTCTTCCGCCCCTTGCCCTCCCTCTCACACCCAGAGAGGGTGAGGAGCAGGATCCAGACGCCGTCCCTCCCCCACCCCGTTGCTTTTCCAGACCTGGAGAGCATCCACCTGCAGGACAGCCTCCCCAGCGGCCCCTCACAGGACGACAGCCTTCTGGCCCTCTCCTCCCCCGATGCCTGGCCCTCTCCCGAGGAGCCCCCCATCACGGCCGCCGGCCCGCAGCCCCCCAGCCCAGCACAGCAGCACCGGCAGCGGCTGCCAGGGGCCCTGGGGCCCGAGGGGGGGGCCCGCCCGCCGGGCTCCCTGCCGTCGCTGGACAGCGGCTCCCTGTGGGAGGAGGACGAGGTGTTCTACAACTGAGGCGGGCTGCGTGGGTCCCCACGACCTGGGCCTCTCTCGACCCGTCGGGGCAGACTGAGGGTGGGCGGGGAGCCGGCACTCCTGTGGACCACTCTGTGCCTCGGTGGACCTGCCTCCAGCAGTGGGGGCCAAAGCCCCCCTCCCTTGGTCACTTGGCTCAGGTGGGCGCCTTCCCCAGCGGGGTGTCTGCCTGCAGGGAGCTCGAGGACTCTCCGCAGACACCAGGGCAGCCGGCCACAGGGGAGCGGACACTTGGAGTGGGGCCTTGACCCTCCCCCACCCCCTGTATATCTGCCCCCGTCAAAGGGGGGGTAGCCACTTCACGTCTGGTAGCTAAGCCGCACTCCTCGGCTCCTCACGACGACGTCTGTCTCTCCCAGTGTCTGTCCCCCATTCCCCGAGCCTGCTCCCTTGGTGCCCAGGCACCCCATTCAGGGAGCCCACTCACCTCCTCGTCCCCCTCCCAGTTCCCCAAGGTTCTCTGAAGACATTAAAGTCGTGGATTCACCAGGATGAACTTGGCCTGGTCTCTGCTGGGAAAGGCGTGACCTCGGGCCCCTGGGCAGGGGGTGCAGAGGGACTCGGGAGGACCCCAGCCCCCAACACGCACAGAGCTGGTCCACCTGCTACCACCCAGCCAGGAGAGGCCCTGTGGGGGATGCCTGAGGCGCTGTGGACTCCCCGAGGAGCCACGCCCGGGACCCCACTTTATCAGCTGGGGCTCGGCCCAGGAGGGGACCAGGGCCAGGGTGAAAATCACTGGGCCACGGGATCCTGCTTACGCATGAGGACATCATGAGACCTGGTGGGAGATCCTCTCTCCCTGACATTTCCCTTCCAGGAGGAGGAGCAGCAGGAGGAGACGGGGGACACAGCCCTGCAGTGCCGTGTGGCCACCTCGGCCCCAGGAGCTGACTCTCAGCCAGCACAGGGAAGGAGCTCAGGTGTCAGGACACCCGTGGAGCTGAGATGAGGGGACCAGCTTTATTTTTCTCAGGGGCCTCTGGCTGGGAAGCAGACAGCCCCCAGCGGTGCCTGCCCTTGGTGACACCATACTCCAATCTCTTCATCCACAAGTCTGACGAACATTCACCGAGCATCTGCCATGTGCTGTGTTGTTGTTGTTGTTTTTGCCATCTCACACTCCGAGCTCTGTCCAAGGTGGGATCTGTCCTTCAAGGCAGCAGCCGCTGTCCCACGCCGGGTGGGGCACAGTGAACACAGGACCCGTTCAGGGCTAGGTTAGAGCGGCCTGCTCGGCCCAGGAGCTGAGTGGGGCTGGTGGGCAGGGTGTGTTGTGATGGGGGAGGACAGGCAGGGTCTCTGCCCAGCCCCAGTCACAGGGCAGCTGAGGTGCCCTCTTTCATCTCGGCAGACCAGCTCACTTTGGGGCTGGTGGATTTGTCAGGTTGGAAATTGCCTTCTTCATCTAGAACAGACAAAAGGGTGTTTTTTTCTTTTTTGGAACAAAGATGTCAAGGAGGTTGAGAATGGGGGTGTCAATTCCCCTAATAGTCGATTCTGGGGTGACGGTGCCTCCCCATTGCATAGATGGGATCACTGAGGCCCAGAGAGGGGCAGGCTGGCCACTGGCCACAACACAAGGTAGGGGTGGCCAGGCCCAGTGGCCACCTGGGCTGGGAAGGGGCTCATCAGAATCCTGTGAGGCCCCCCAAATTTGGATGGGACGGTGCTGGTGCCCCCCCAACCTCCCCAGTCCGCTCGGGCAGGGTTCCTCCGCTTAGCCCTCGGGACCCCCGTACCTCGGCCCAGGACACGGAGCCCACAGCGCGGCCCCGCGACGTCACGAAGAGCAGCTGAAGGTTCAGCAGCTCGAAGAGGTGGTGCGCCTGCAGGGGGACGTTAGAAGCCCTGGCGGGGGCATCCACGCCGCCCCTTCGGCCCGCCCACGTGTCTGTGCCAGGAGCGGGGCGGGCCTGTGTGGCGACGACGGGATCGGGCTTGCGCGCCGAGCTGCCACGAGGGCGCAGAGTCCGCGCGGGGCGGGGCGGGGCTGGGGGGGCTGGGGGGGCTGGCGGGGCTGGAGGCTGGGGTCGGGCTGGGGCTGAGCTGGGCGCTGGGAGGCGGGCGGGTGGGGAGGCTGGGCGGGGCGGTTGCCCGCGCAGTCCCGCCGCGGAGGGCCGAGCCACCCCGGTGCCCGGCCTGCTTCCGCCCCTCCCCCGCCCCACGTGCGGGCTCCGTCCCGAGTGGTCAAGTAGTTTGTCCAAGATCACACAGGGAGAATGCGGGCCCGGAATCCAAACCCACGTGCGCCGTGATGCTACCCCACTCTCCCCCAGAGGCCAGTTCCCGAGCCCTCCCACCGCCCCGTCTCTCTGCATCACGGGGGGGGGGGGGGCGGGGACGCGACACCCATTCTGCGGATGAGGAGCGGGAAGCAACATGCGAGGCAGGGGAGCCGGAGCCTGGGTTTCCCGGTCGGGCTCTTCCCCTCCACCCCAGGGCTCATCTGCCCGCACTGCCCCACTACCTGGTGCAGGGAGGTCTCCGGGGACAGCTGCAGGGTCACTGGCTCTGTGGGGCAGCCCCCCGCCAAGACGTCCTGGAGACACCGCTGGGGATGGGGGAAGGGTTAGGGGCGACTGGGCCAGCCTCCCCCTTCCCCAGGCTGCCCCTCTCGGACCACCTGTCCCACAGGAGATCGGCCATCCCCGCCCACAGCCCTGCTGCCCACTGGCCCGTGCTCAGCCGGTCCCAACACCCCTCTCGAGTACTCACCGGTTGTCCTGGAGCCCAGGAAGGGGACTCAGCCTGGAGAGCCTGCACCAGCTGGGCCCTTCGCAGGATGCCCACCAGGATCTGGGACTCTGGCAAGTGGAGGGAGAGGGAGACAGGCACATCGTGAAGACAAGGGAACCCACATTCCTTTCTATGCGCCAAGAACTGTGCTGGGTGTCTCCTGGGAACCTAACAGCAGCCTAGGAGTCTATTATAACTGTTATCACCCATTTTATAGGATAGGAAACTGAGGTTCAGAGGCACAGAGAGGCTAATTGTCTTGCCCAAGATCGTTCAGCTCTTAATGTGGAGGTGTGGTAGCAGAGGTGGGGGGGGGATAAGGCTGCAAAGGGGGACAAGAGGGACCCTGGCCACCACTGAGATTCCCCATGTCGCAGGGCCTGAAGGCAAGAGCAAGCCCTGATGACGTCCATGTGCCAGGGCTGGGCTTCCTCCTTTGTTCCCCCACGGGAGGTTCCGTGTCTGGCTCTGCCCAGTGACGTGTGGGTCCCACTGTGTGTGTGTGGGGGGGGCCTGGCAAGCTTCACTCTGGCCCTGGGGACCACTGGAATTTGCGGGCATTCGGTTTTGAGGGGCCAGCTCGGGGTTTTTGCTTTCTGTTGCGTAAAATAAAAACTTGACCACTAGACATATAAATGCCCTTCCTCTTTTCTTTACCCATAAAGGTATATTTTATTTTTTATTAGTTTTTTCTATTTTAATACATTTGGGGGTACAAGTTGAATTCTGTTATATGTCTATACTGTGTGTGGTGGAGTCTGGGCTTTGGTGCACCTGTCACCTGAGTGGTGTACATTGTACCCATAGGTAAGTTTTCATCCCCTACCCCTTCCCATCCCTCCCCTTTGAATAAACAATTAAAGCTATTTCTTCGGGGAGCAGTAGGGTCCCACAGCCTGGGCCTGCACTGGCTGGGAGCTTTGCTTCCTGTGGCTCAAAGGGTATCAAAGGACTTTGTCATTGAGGCCAATTCTCTCTGTGTTCCAGGAGGTGAAGCCTCTTGGCGGTGCTATCCATATGTAAAAGTTTTCAAACGGGATGCTTGTTATGTTCTCTAGCATCAATGCTAAACGGGCCTACCTCTGGCAACCCTATGCTATATTGATCCCTATTTTCCAGATGAGGAAACTGCAGCTCATAGAGCTTACATGATTTACTCAGAGTTCTTCAGCTCATAAATGTCTTTATTCCTGTTGGAGTAGGCATAGGAGTGACCCGTATGGTTGTACAGGTTGTTCACTGCACAAAGTGCCTGCTCAAATGGTAAGTGGGGACCCAAATCTAGCTGTGCTATGCTCACCAAGTGTGCACCTTGTCTCATTTGCACAAAGGGGACATATGGGCTGACAGTAGCCCTGAGTGTCATTTGTCTTTAAAAAGATGCTTTTCTCATGGCATCAAAGACTTGGCAAGGGGACTCAGGTGGGGAAAGCTTGAAGGGAAGACTGAGAGGGAAGCTTCTGGAAGAAGCTAGTAGTGTCCCCATCATCCTACCCCCGCACATCAGCCTGGTTTCTAGAATCTCAAGAGCTGTTCCTGGAGTTTATCACAAACACCCTCTCATCTTCCATTTAGACACGTCAGCCACCCCAAAGTAAGGTGGTTATTATTGCCATCTTACTAATGAGGACACTGAAGCTCAGAGAGGTGAAGTGACTTGCCCAAGGTCACACAGTTGCTAAGTCACAGAGCCCGGATTCAGATTCCAGTCTGCCTGCCAGGCCGAATGCCCTGCTTACCCTTTCCTGAGCCCGACTCTCCAGGGTCCACGAGGAAGTCGCAGAGGGACCCCCCAGCCCCCACATCCTCCTCCCTTCCTGCTGGGCACCTGTGCTCTCCACCAGGGGGTACTCGGCCACGTCTGTGGAGGTCACGACCTTGACCACCTCCTCCAGCGGCGTGTCCTTGGCCAGCGTGGTGATGGCGCAGTTCATGAAGTGCTCCACGGTCACGCGGTGGGAGCTGTGGGCAGAGGGCGGCTCCCTCAGGCCCTGGGCTGGGGGGACATCGGAGCCCAGGATGGGCAGGGACACCTGGGGGCACTTTGCTGGGACCAGGGACCCATGACTCTCAAGTGTGGGCAGGGACTGAGAGGTTCCTGGAGCGAGTGACTCCCAGAACCCCCCGGCAGGAAGGAGCCTGGGGCCCACCTCACTGATGGCCCGGTTCTGAACCCCCAGCCCCCGGCACCCCGTGTCCCTGGACACCGTGTCCCCCAGGACCCCATGCCCCAGACCAGCTCCACTTTGGTCTGTTTTACACACACCCTTCCCTGGAGAATCCCATTTGAAGAAAAGTTAATGCAAAACAAAAAAAAAACCCCAAATTTAAAAAACCACTGGAGTAACCACCCCCATTTTACAGATTTTACAGGAAACAGGTTTGACAGGGTGGCAGGGTTTGCAGGGACCCAGGAGGTCCCAGAGCCTCTTGGCTCTCCTCCTCTCAGGCCAGAAGCTGCTCTGGTCCTGTCTGGTCCGGTGAGGACCTCAGAGCCCGTTTCCATTCTAGTTTCACTTCCAGCTCCCAACGTCCCAGTGAGGATAGCAGGAGTGGAGAGTGGGGAAGGGACCTCCTAGATCCAGTGCTGACTCTCTGTGTGACCCGGAGCAAGACACAGCACCTCTCTGAGCCTCAGTTTTCTCATCTGGCAAATGGGGCCATATCTGTCATGCTATAGAGACCATCTGATGACCAGTAAGACATTGAGGCCTGGGGGCCCAGGACGTGCCCAGGGTCTCACAGGGTGCTGGGGAGCGTGGAGACCAGCCGTATGTCAGCCCTTCCCACTGCCCTATGTCCAAGGTCAGCTGCAGTGGCACTTCTTTTTGGAGGGGCCCTCGGACCCCAGCCCACCCTGGACACCGTCACCCTTTAGCCAGCCCGAGGCCAGCACTGCTCACCTGATCTTGCGGCCACGGATCCACGGCAGGTATGGCAGCTTCTTCACGATGATGGTGCCGTCGTAGAAGGAGGGCTGGCAGCTCTGGGCGATGGCGTTGGCTGCCAGCACCGCCATCAGCACGGGCAGGGCGTGCACTATCTGGCCAGTGAGCTCAAAGGCGAGCAGCGCCGTGGAGATGGTGTGGGTCACCGCCCCCGAGAAGGCCGCAGCCCCTGCCCGGCAGAGCCCGCAGGGCAACTCAGGCCAGGGGCCAGCAAGGCTGCACACCATGGCCCGGGGCTAGGGTGGGAACTGTCCAGAGGCCACACCCTGGGCACTGTCAGAATGCCCTAAGGCCTGGGGTTGGTGAAAGGAGAAGGGGAGGGGAGGGCGTGGGGGATGGGCGCCAGACAGGATGGAAGAGTGCAATGGGGCTCCGGGGTGCTGGGGCTCCCAGGGTGGCCCAGTGACCACTGCAGGCCCTACAGAGCTACCAGCTGATATCCCAAGTCCAGCCTAGCCCCACGATGTTGTCCATCCAGCAGGGACCAGACCCACTCACCTGCCAGGGCGTACGCCCCAGGCACAATGCGATTGGTGACCCCTCCGGCCACGATGCCCTCGGGGAAGGCGACAGAGAGGGCCTCCCCCAAGAGGCGCCCAATGGCAGCTCCTGACCAGAGACTTAGGGTGAGGGGGAGCCCGGCTGGCCGGGCCCCATCCATCCCTGGGGATCATTCTCCCCACCCCCCTGGGGAGGGAAGAGTGAACCAGGAGCCGTGGCCCTGCCCCAGTAGCCCCGAACCTCTCGGAACCTCAGGACCCCGGACTCACCTAAGATGAATATGGGCATGAAGTACCCGGCGGGCATGGGGATCGTGGTGGCCAAAATCAGCATCCAGAACTGCGGGTGGTGGGAGACCAAGGGGCGGGAGTGAGAGACCACTGGGCAAGGCAGGGACAAGGGAGGGGAGGGACAGGGGACAGGAAGAGGGAAAGAGGGCTCCCAGGCATGTGCCCATTACCAGTGTCTGGCATTGGGGAAGGATCCTCACCCCAATAACGTGCCCACTGCATGCCTGGCACCATGCCAGTGGCTTTCCCTCCTCCCTCCTCACCTCCCTTTGTGGTGGAGACCGTAATTATTACACCATATTAAGGGCGAGGAGACCCAGGCTCAGAGAGCTCAAGCAACTTGCCCAGGACCACACAGCGGGCAGGGGGCGGATTGGGGGGGCTGTGTGAGGCCCGGTACCCTGCTACGTGCTGTGGGGAGGCAGCCCCCATCCTGACCTAAGCTGGCCTTGGCTCTGTGCACACGCTGGGGCCCCCGGTGCCCACCTTCATAACCAGGAAGAAGGCGAGGGTCCCAAAGATGGTGAACTCCGGTTGGTACCATTCCAGCCACAGGTTCTGGGGGTCGGGCTCCCTGGGCCAGGGCGGGGACGAGTTCCTGGTCATCAGTGCCCAGGACTTGTTGTCGAACAGCGAGTCCAGATGCTCGCCCATGGACAGCTGGGCGGGGCAGGTGGGACTCGGCATGAGGGAGCTGAGCCGGGGTCCCCAGGTGGGACTCGGCATGAGGGGGCTGAGCCGGGGTCCCCAGCCCCCCTCTCCGCTTGACCCGCCTCAAATCCTCCTCTGCCACCTCCCAGCTGGGGACCCTGGGCGCAGCTCGGACCTCCCTGAGCTGTGGTCTATAAAGGGAGCCCAGGCGTCTCCCTCACGGGGCGTTGTAGGGGTGAGATAACACACAAAAGGGGGGCCACGGTGGGGTTCCCCTCTCCCACCACACCCAGCTCAGCGCCTTACCCGGGAAGCTATGAAGCGGCCGACGCCGGGCGGGTAGGTGATGGAGGCGAGGACCAGGGCGGCCAGGGCGGAGTACAGAGGCTTGCTGTCGGGGCGGGAGCTGCAGTGCCGGCCCTCCGCTGCCCACCCCACGGGAGATGGGCCCTGCCCAGGCGGGAGCAGCCCCCACCCTGGGGCTGACCCCAAGGCAAGAACCAGGGAGAGGAAGGGCAGGAGGGGGACAAGGGCTCCAGGCCCTGGATCTGGGCTCAGCCCCACGTGCTCGGTGCTCAGTGCTCGTGCTCAGTGTGACCAGTGTGGGGACTGGCGGTGGCGGGGGGACGCGGGGGGGGGAAGGGAGGGCTCAGGGCAGGGGCAGGCTGGGAGGGAGGACAGAGCAGGGTGGGGCCGGGCAGTGGTGGAGCTCGGGCATCCTGGAGCAGAAGGAGGGCTGCCCAATGCCAAGGCCGGGGGCAGACAGGGTTTGGGGGGGGGCTACTGAGGGGGCTGGGGCTCACTGAGGGGGGTAGTGGGCTCAAGGCAAGGGTTGGGGGCTTCAGTGAGGGGCTTGGGAGCCCAGTAAGGTGCGAGGGACAGTGACCATAGGGGCTTGGAGATGGGGGTTAGCAATGAGGGCTGGGGGCTCCACACATGGGGTGTGGGCCGGGGAGTGGTTTGGGGGCTCAGTGGGACACATGGGCTCAGGTGGGGGTGGGGCTCTCCATATAAGGTTGGGAGTCCAGGGGGCTCCCTGAGAGGTCCCTGGCCCCGGCCCGGAGCTCACCTGGTGGCCAGCAGTTTGGAGAAGAACCAGTTGGTCTTGACGAAGGCGAGGAAGGTTCGTTGGCAGAAGAGGTAAGCGCAGCTCAGGACGCCGCAGATGGCCCTGGGGGCGGGGGGCGGTGAGTCCAGAGCCTCCCCAGAGCCCGGGCAGCAGTCCAAGCCCTGACTCACCCCAGTGCCACGAAAAAGAAGATCTCTGGCAGGTCGTAGGGGATGTCCACTGGGAAACTGGTCTTGAAGAGGCAGGTGATGGTCTCTGGGGAAGGAGGGACGTGGGGAGCGCGATGGCACTCCTACCCCACCCAAACCAAGTCCCAGAGCAACATGCCAGGTCCTGACCCCAGGTATCCGTTTCCTGGCATTCAAGGCCCCCACGCCCCCTGCCCAGCGCTTCCCCTGCCCGCAGGTCCCCGCACCCCACCCTGCATGGCCAGTAGAGGTCTGCTCCCTCCCATGCTCCCAGAAGGAGGAGGGGAAGGAAGGGAGGGCTAAGGGGTAGTGAAAGGAAGGGGAGGGGAGGAGGAGGGAAGAGGGGAAGAGGGGGGTCACCTTCCTCGCTGTTGAAGACGGACAGCAGGCGGAATGTGAAGGCCCCACAGGTGGCAGCGAAGAAGCCCCTCCAGTAATCCCAGACGGAGAAGTGGGAAGACATGACCTCGATGCTGAACAGGACGCCTGGGGGCAGCACTGAGCTCAGGTGGACTCCCCCCATCCCTGGGTCAGGGTCCAGTATCCTCCCTGACCCTTGGCCCTGCTGCCCTACAGCGGGGACGGGCCACACACGGGGGAGGGGAGGGGAGGGGAGGGCCTGGGCTGGGAGGACCCGGCTGACCAGGGAGCACATCCAGCTAGCCCCGCCGTCCAATGTCTGTGTGTGCCGCTCTCCTTGCCATGGGGCAGGGGCGATTATGACCCCCGTTTTACAGAGGAGGAAACCTCCTGGCTTAGGCCAGCTGGCCGGGGTCCCACAAGTCTGCCTCATGTAACCCTGAAACCCCTCGACACCCCCCACACCTGGGGTGGCTGTGCTCAAGGTGGGACTGAAGTCTAGAATTAGCCCCTGTCCCCCCTCCAGGCCTCTCAGCTGGGCAGAGAGAGGGCAGGAGCGTGAGGGGGCCCCAGGGTGCAGGGGAAGGAATGAGGGAGCCCCAGGGTGCAGAGGGAGGGGTATGAGGGGCCCCAAGGTGCAGGAGGAGGGGTGTGAGGGGTCCAAGGGTGCAGGGGAAGGTGTGACAGAGCCCCAGGACAAGAAAGAGTGTGGGGACCGGCCCCAGGGTGCAGGGGGAGGAGTGTGAGGGGTTCTAGCATGCACGGGGAGGGGTGTAAGAGAGACCCAATGTACAGGGGCCAGGGTGTAAGGAGCCCCAGGGTGCAGGGGTGTGAGAGAGGGTCTCACCACTGAAGGGTGCTGCGAAGACTGTGGCCACGCCCACCGCCGCCCCTGCCACCAGCATTTCATTTTGCTTGCTCTTGTTCTGGGCAGATGGGAGTCCTGGGCTCAGATCAGCCCCTCCCTCCCATGGCTCCTTCCCACTCCTCCCCCGGGGAAGCCCGCCCTTACCCCAGGCTCCCCGATGGTCTTGGTGCGCACACGGCCCAGGTAGGCAGCAATCATCACAGACAGGTGCACGAAGGGGCCCTGCAGGGCGAGGTGTGGGCACAGGGCACAGGGCACTCCCTGGGGCCCAGGGTGACGGGAGCAGAGGGAGCCTCACCCAGAGACAGCCTGGCCTCCCCCCTCCTCCATCTCCGCAACCTCCAGGGATATCCTGGGGTGATTTTTGTCACACTCTGGGGACCTGGCCTGTCTTTTCCCCCAAGTCTGAGCTCCCCGAAGGCCTGATTCCCCCAGCCCCTGCTTTGGTGGGCAATGAGGGGCAGGAGCAGGCGGGGTGCCCTCGTGCCTCCCGTACCACTTTGCCCAGGAAGATGGTGCTGCCGGCGGCCAGGGTGCAGGAGAGGCCCACCACCTTGGCCCCGAAGTTCTTGATGTCCAGGTAGTCTTCCAGGACCACCCCCGACAAGATGGTCTTCAGCTCTGGGATTCCGGAACCTGGGCAGGGGCAAGACAGGGACGGTTGCCAGATCAAGACTCCTAGCACTCTACAGTGTTTTCACGTTATGCTCTGGCGGATCTTCATAAACCCTCTGACACTGGGATTCCCAGGAAACTGAGTCGTCCGTGTTTGTCCAGCTGGTCCTGGCAGACGCTGGGGAATCTCAGGCCACCCCTGGACACGCCCCTGGAGCTCCCATCTGCTGGCCCGAAGGGATTGCTGAGGCATTGCTGGGAGGCCCGGGGGAGCTGGGTCCCCCCCCACGAGCCCCTCCCTGGCACTGGCCGCTGGCGCAGACCCTGCAGGGGAACTTGCCCCAGTCCTCCCGCCACGGCCGCGAGCAGCCCTTGGAAAGCAGGCAGAGCCAGCATCAGTCAAGATCTGGCTTTTGCTGTGTGACTTTGGGCAAGTGATGTGACTCTTTTTTTTTTTTCTTTATTTTATATTTTTTAATATATATTTTTTTGAAACAAGGTCTCACTCTGTTGCCCAGGCTGGAGTGCAGTGGTGTGGCCACAGCTCATTGCGGCCCTGAACTCCAGGGCTCAAGCGATCCTCCCACCTCAGCTTCCCGAGTAGCTGGTACTACAGGTGTGTACCAGGACGCCTGGCTAGTTTTTTCATTTTTGTAGAGATAGGGTCTCAAACTCCTGGCCTCAAGCAATCCTCCCGGCTCAGCCTCCCAAAGCACTGGGATTACAGGCATGAGCCATCTCTCTTGGCATCGACATGACCTTTTTTTTTTTTTTTTTTTTTTGAGACAGAGTCTCACTTTGTTACCCAGGCTAGAGTGAGTGCCGTGGCGTCAGCCTAGCTCACAGCAACCTCAAACTCCTGGGCTCAAGCGATCCTACTGCCTCAGCCCTCCCGAGTAGCTGGGACTACAGGCATGCACCACCATGCCCAGCTAATTTTTTCATATATATTAGTTGGCCAATTAATTTCTTTCTATTTAGTAGTAGAGACGGGGTCTCACTCTTGCTCAGGCTGGTTTCGAACACCTGACCTTGAGCAATCCGCCCGCCTCGGCCTCCCAGAGTGCTAGGATTACAGGCGTGAGCCACCACGCCCGGCTGACATGACCTTTCTAAGCGTGCTTCTCTGGCTGTGAAATGGGGCTGCTGCCTCCTGTCCTCTCCCCCACACCCCACCCCACCCCCGTCAGAAGCGCCATGGGGTATGAATAGGTTTTGGCCCGTGGGCACCGGCATGATGACTGTGGACTCACCTCCAGAGAAGGGCGTGATGCTCTGGGAGAAGCCGGAGGAGAAGGAGACCAGGGCCACAGGGTACACGGTCCAGGAGAGATACCGGAGCAGGTGGCTGTCCCCAATCTCCCGGTACAGCCACTTATGTGCTGGGGACAGCCGGGTATCAGGGAGCCACCCACAGCCTCTGAAGCCCTCAGGGCCAGACCCTCACTGACCAGGAAATGGAGGCTCAGCCAGCGAGAGGAGGCCCAGGGCCACCCGGTGAGTGGCAGACCCTCAAGAAGAGGCAGAATTACAAACCTAGGTCCACATCCCAGTTTTTTTGTTTGTTTGTTTGTTTTTGAGACAGAGTCTCATTCTGTTGCCCCAGCTAGAGTGCTGTGGCGTCAGCCTAGCTCACAGCAACCTCAAACTCCTGGGCTCAAGCGATCCTCCTGCCTCAGCCTCCCGAGTGGCTGGGACTACAGGCATGCGCCACCATGCCCGGCTAATTTTTTCTATATATATTAGTTGGCCAATTAATTTCTTTCTATTTATAGTAGAGACGGGTCTTGCTCAGGCTTTTTCGAACTCCTGACCTCGAGCAATCCGCCCGCCTCAGCCTCCCAGAGTGCTAGGATTACAGGCGTGAGCCACCGAGCCCAGCCCACATCCCAGTTTTGCCACTTTCTAGCTGAGTGACCTTAGGCAAGTGACTCAATCTCTCTGAGCCTCTGTTTCCCCATCTATCAAATGGGCTAGTGATGAAATCTCCCGGGTCACTGAAGACTAAAGGAGACCTACTGAGAACTAAATGAGGCAGGGCGTGGAGCACCAAAGACTACAGTGGGTCCTCATTAGGGCAGCTGAGAGTCTCCAGAGAAAGTGTCTTAGGCCCTTCCTGCCCCATGCCCCACGTCCCCTCCTCCAGGGAGGCCTCAGAGCGGAGACATGCTGCCCGAAGGTAGAGAAAGAAAGATCTATGCTTGGTGGTCTAGGCAGGTGCCCCAGGGTAACTGAGCTGAGAGAGGGGAACGGGGTGGCAAGAGCAGGGCAGGGAGCTCAGCCGAGGACGAGCTCTTGGGCACATTCTTGTCTTTCTCCCTTGTGCAGATGAGGAGACTGTGGCCCACAGTGGGGCAGGAGCCTGCCCAGGGTCACACAGCAAGTCAGGAGTGAAGCCAGCACGAGAGCCCCCCCCAGCCCTCCCCTCCCCGCCCCCGCTGCACCCGGAGGCCCATGTGGCATCCCCAAGAGCGTGCCGGAATGCCGTGGTCCTGAGCAGGGCGTGCGTGCCAGGGAGGGTTACCTCGGACCACACGGCTGATGGCGAAGTTCATGGCGTAGCTGATCAGGGCCATGAGCACCCCCAGGGTCATCAGGAAGTACCAATCCTCGCCCACGCGGAACAGCTTCTGCTTCAGCCACTCCAGGCCAGCTGGGGCGGGAGCGTAGAGGGGGCATGGGGGCACAGCTGGGGAGGGGTAGACGGGGGGGGGCTGGGGCCAGGCGTGGAGTCTAGGGTGGTCCAGAGTGGGCTCTGCCTCGTACAAGGGGCCGGGCAGGATTTGTGGTGCCGCTGTCCGCCCTCCCTCCCCACCCCTGCCCATACTGGGGCCTTATGGAAGATGATCAGGGCGCAGGGGTGTGAGGAGGGGGGCTGGCGGCCACAGCTTTCACCAGCGTCTCTGCAGGGTCTGCAGCTCAGAGAGCACGAGGGTCTAGCACGGCTCCTGGGTTGTCCCAGGGCCTGTGGCATCGTCTCTCCTAGGAGCCCCCAGCAACGCCCTGGCCCCCCGGCTGCCAGCCCAGCCCGGAAGTTGACCCTCACTGGCTTGGGCATCAGCCCCCGGGGCTGCACTTAGCCTCCCTCTGGGGTCCCCGCCTTCTCTGCCCCTTAGCTAAGGGCACAGACAGGTCTCAAAGTAAACAATGCACGCGGGGCCCCAAAGAAAGATGTCACGTCCACAGTGGCCTCAGCCACTTGCAGTGGCCCCAGCTGTCCTGGCGCCTGACCCTCAGGGCCCCTCATTGGCACCAGCAGGTGAGGGTAGAGGCCTGGGTAGAGGGTGGCACAGTGACCAGGTGACCACCGGCCCAAGTGACCAGGCCTTGGGATGTATCTCCCCAAAGGCAGAGTGCGGATGCCTGGCCCATCTGACCCACAGACAGACGGACAGACAGATCCCTTCCCCCGGCCACCCAAGAGACGGGGCAGCATGTCCCAGGACAAATGAAAGGAGGAGGTGGGGGTGCAGGGCCTGGCAGGGGTGATGTCCTGATGGGTCTTCCATGGGGATGGGGGGGACCTGGCTCTCACCTCGGATGCCTCGGCGGATGCGGGGACATGGGCCCCACAGCTCCTGCAGCGTCACGGGGTCCCCCGAGGAGCCCTCACGCAGGCCCAGCAGCTCCTCCATCAGGCCCCTGGGGGAGTGGACGGAGGCTGGCCGGGGAGCTGCTCAGCGTCCCCGCCCTGCCTCTCGGCCCCCCATGCTCTCCCTCCCAGACAGAAAGGAAAGGTCGTGTCTTCCTGTGTGCGCAGGTGTGTGAAGTTTTCCGGAGGACACAGGCCCGCGTGTGCCCTCATCTCTGAGGGTCTGTCACTGAGGGCGTGTGCCTCTGTGTGTCAAGGGGGAGTGGGGGGCTTCTAGGTGTCCCCCGCCCCGTGTCCAGGAGCAGTGGACACAGGCAGGATGCCAAGCCCTTCGGGCCTCCACTGCCCCCTTCTGGGATGCTGGCTGCTCCCACTGCTGGAGCAGTCTCTTAGCCCAGGGCTGTCACTCTCTCGCTGCGGGGTCCCCATGGACGGCTCTGCCTCCCTGTGCCTGGGCACCCTCCCCCGCCGCAGCTCAGGCCACAGAGGCAGGAAAACCCCAGGCCCTGAAGGAGACCCCCACCACCGAGGGTCAAAGTGAAGTGCTGGCTCCTGCCCCCCCACCTCTGCCCTGCCCACCCTGGCCCTCGCTGGCCCGTGCCCCAGCCCTGTGCCCAGCGGCCCCTCACCTGTCAGTCGGTCCTGCTGTGCCCGTGGCCAGCCCTCTTCTAACAGAGCCTCTCTGGCCTCCAGCTCCGGTGCACCTGGGCAGGTGTGTGCTCCACCAATCAACACCCCCGCCCCGCCCGCCCTCCCTTGGTTTACTGTGGCCATTAGGAATGTCCTTGACAAGCCAACCAGAACTGCCCAGGCTGGAGCGGTACAGGGCAGCGCTGCCCAGGCAGGGGAACGGGGCTTCCCTTACCCGCCAGGGCTGCACCGAGGGGACACCGAGGGGGCCTGGGAGGGGCCTGGGAGGGGAGCACATGCACACAGCGGGACTGAGAGGGGTCATCTGCGGGGGGGCCCGGCTCAGGACACTGGGTTCTCAGAGCTGGACACAGAAAGGTTTGAAAAAGCAGAGAAGGGAGAGGGGAGGAGGCTGGGCAGAGCACGGAAAAGCACCAGGCAGAGAAGTGAGTGGGGGCCACCATGACTGCGCCCTCTGTGCACCAGGCCCACCTGCCCCTCCATGAGATTACCCTGAGTGCTTAGGAGACCCAGCAGGGTGGGCAGGGTCATCCCATCGTAACGCAATGGTGTCTCTGCGAGGGGAGGCTGCTTGTCCCAGATCACAGAGACCAAGGGCACCGCCTGGGCTCGCCCCACACCGTGCTCCACGGTCCTGTCTGGGTGGCGCGTCTGGTCCGGGCTGGGGGAGGTCAGCAGGCTGGAGCAAGGCTGTGGACTGTGGTGGCTGCAGCCCCCGAGGCCCAGTGAGGGACTTGGACTTGATCCTTGCGTCCAGACCCTCCAGTCTCAGGAAACTCAATTCTCAAACCCCAACGTCCAAGGGGCTTCTGCGTAAATGCCACAGAGTTTGTCCCATCCCAACAGGGGGCTGCAGCTCGGGTGGGCAGGGACATGGCGAGGGCACAAATACCAGCTACGTGCCAGGAGCTTTACATCCGCAGCTCCGTTCCTCCTCCCCTGGGCCTGCGAGTTGGGGAAAGCATTACCACTTAGCAGAGGGTGCAGGAGGATCAGAGAGGTACAGTCACTCACCCACAGTCACACAGCAGAGGCTGAGCCCAGACCTAGACTGTGCAGCTCTTCCTCTACCACAAGCTCCTCCAGCTCCTGAGGCTTAATTGGGGCGATGGTTTGGGCACAAAGCAGAAGATTTGTGTCTTGATGTCATTTTTGGAATATTTGGGCAAGAGATCTGGGGCAATTACCCCCCACCCCGGACAAAGCCACCCCTCTGAACATCATGATGGCCCTTCGGTGATTTGCTAAAATCTGGGACTGTGAGCTACTCTCTGCCCATGAATGCTGGGCCAGGTCAGGTCAGAATAGGAGCAGGGGTGTGTGTTGTGGGGGGTGGGTGGGGCTTGCTGCTCTGCACGGATCCGGACCCACCTCGCCTTGGCCTCCCCGACCCATCGACTGCTCACGGTAACAGGATAACTGGCTGCCCTGCTGACATCCCAAGCCCCGGTCTCTACTCTTGGGCAGCCGCTGGCTACAGTTCTACCCTCCCCACACCCCCTGGCCCATAAGCACCAGGAAACTGAGGACAGCAAGAGGGTGCAGTGCCCAGGGCAAGTCCCTTCCAAAGCCATCGCCCCCACGTGCCAGCCCCCAACTTCTCCCTCTTGCACATCAAGTGCCCAGCAGTAGTGGAGGTGGCCGGGTAGGGACACAGCAGGTTTGAAGCCAGAACAGCTCTGCCAGCCCGAACTCCTTCACCACCTGGACCCTCAGTTTCTTCTTCAGTCCAACGAGGAGAGCCCTGGAACAGGAGCCTGTCTCTACCTCATTCATCACTGAGTCCGTCCAGAGCCTGGAACAGTGCCCCTCACACAGCAGGTGTTCAACAAATACCTGCTGGGGATGAGTGGTTTCCGGACACTGGCCTGTGAGCTGGCCGTGTGGGGAGCTGATGGGAACAGATTCCGGGGCGCTTCGCAAGACCCCAAATCAGAATCTTGGGGTGCAGAGGGAAGAGTCTCTGTTAAAATCTCCCCTGGCTGATCGGGATTCAAGGGATCCGGTCATCTTTGGAGCTCCTTCTGTCCCTGTGATCCGAAGGGAAAGACATGCCCGGAGACAGGGAAATGGCCTCAGTGACCTTTCGAGGTCCCTCCTGGCCACCGAAGCTGGAGGATGCAGGGTTTGCATGGGTGATGCCTCGGGAATGGGGGCAAGGAGGAGGAATGGTGGGCGGGGGTGGGTAACGGGATCTGACACCCAGGGGCAGTGACTCAGGCCCTCAGCACCATGACTGTGTGTCTGCATTTAGCCACTGGCTCCTATTTCCCTGGCGAGCGGCAGGCTTCTGGGCCCCCCACCTGCCCCCACCCTCACGCCACCTCACCTTAGTGCTGGTGACTTCCCGGCAGCCCTGGAGCCCCCTCGGCCAGGAAGGGTGACACAGCCCCGGAACCAGCAGGAATCTCCAGCGGAGGTGACAGACCCTCTTGTCCCAGGCACCACCCTGGCCCCCAGCTGTGCCCTGTCCCCTGCTCTGCCCCCACTCCACATAGCACCAGCACCACTAATACCCCGTAGACAGAGTTCCCCAAGCATGAAGCTCCAGACTGGGTTCTGCGGGGGCCAAATGGGTAACAGTCCCCACCTCCCCAGGCTAATGCGGAGACAGGGGAACCCCCGCCCTGGGGGAACTGCCAGTGGGATAGAGGAGAGGGGACACATGGCACACTGCCAGGGGCTGGAGATGGCCAGTGCTGTGGGCATCTGGGGCGGGGGCTGTGTGGGTGGGAGCAATCAGAGAGGCCTCCCTGGGGGAGGGGGAACTGGCTCTGATCTGGGAGGAAGGGCAAGAGTTGCAGGGGAGCAGAGGTCCCACACTGTGGCCTGCGAAGAGCAGGGGACCTGCCGCCTCCCAGGATGGCCTTCCCCTGGCTTCTGCCCTGGCCCCGCACGACGTCAGCCCCAGCTCTGCAGACCAGTGGGCGGGAGAGAGGGACTTCTCGGGTCTTCCAGGCGGTCTGTCTCCACACACGTAGGTTCACGCCTCCCGGCCTCTGGGAGGGTTTGGATCCAACACATCCGGGTTCGAATCCCAGTTCTGCCACTTGCACAAGTGTGATCCCCTCCCCCGTCCCCTTTCTGCAAGGCTCCGTTCCCCTGTCTATAAAATGGGAATGATGTCTGCTCCTTCCAGCTGTGTGGGGATCAACAGGGGCCGCGCCGGACAGCCTGCAGCCGGAGCCTGTGCCCGGGCGCTCCAGGAGTCAGGGCTGGAATAACTGTCTTCCCGAGCGCTCCTCTACCTCCACCCGAAGCCCCTGCTGCTGCGGGCCGAGCCACCTCCTCTGAGGAGGTCACAGACAGTTGCTGGGAACATAACCTTCTAGAGTCTGGGCCCAACCCCCAGCTTTGGCTCGAGCTGCCAGCTTTCTCCTCTCGGGACCCCTAAGTGTGCCGAGAATCGGTGGGGGAGCGTGAGCGGGGAATCCGGCCGCCGTGGGAGCTGGCAGGGGGACAGCTGCACATTCTCGGCCCCCTCCGGGGCGGTCTCATCCCTTCCTTAGAGATGGGCTGTAAACAGCGTCTGCCCTGTGGGAAGGAGCCCCTCACCTCACACGGCAGTGGGGGCTTCACCTACCCCCGTCCCAGGGAGCTTGAGCCTGCCGGGGGAGGCACAGCCTGCAGGGAACCAGAGTCTGATGGGCAGGCGCAGTCCTTAGAGAGCCCCCAGGCTGATGGGACAGACAGAAGAAACACCAGACCCACCAGGTCCCGGGGCAGGCACGGGAGGCCGAGTGAGTGGCAGGGGACAGAGTCCAGCCGCTGCTCTGCGGGCGTGCAGGCCCCTGGGGCTGCAGTGATCGGCCTGGAATGCCAGGCCGTGAGCTCAGCCGTCCCGGCCCGTGTGTCGGGCTGTCAGCAGGGCCGACTCACGGGAGAAGATTTCCAGCCCCCTCCAGGCCATGGAGAGGCCTAAATTTAGCTAGTAGACAAGGGGCTGGCCCTGAGCCCAGGGGCAGTCGGGCCTTATAAAGCGCCGGCAGTCGGGGCCCGGCAGGCTCCCCGGAGGCCTGTGCCCACACCCCTCTCCTGTCCAGCCCCTGCCCGCCCGGTTGGGGCCCAGTGCCTGCCCGCGGATGAGCCACAGGACTTCCTCCACCTTCAGAGCGGAGAGAAGTTTCCATTCCTCCTCCTCGTCCTCCTCGTCCTCCTCCTCCGCAGCCTCCCGTGCCCTGCCGGCCCAGGACCCACCCATGGAGAAGTCCTTGAGCATGTTTCCCGAGGATTTTGGCAGCTTCATGCGGCCCCACGCAGAGCCTCTGGCCTTCCCAGGCGAGTGCTGCGAGGGGAGGGAGACGCACAGGTAGGGGACATCCGCTCCCAGGCGCCACCGCGTGTACTGTGGCTGCAGATCTGCCAGGAACAGGTGCTGCACGGCCCACAGCCACAGCCACAGCCACGTGTGGTGGCCCAGACAGATGTGGCCGCAGGGACAGATGTGGCCATGAAAACAGGTGGGCCTCTAAGGAACAGTAAATGCCCCAGGGCTCAGATGGCTCCAGTGGCTACCGGTGGCCTGGTCCTAGCTGGAGCCCTAGAGGCTGGATGGGATGGAGGGGTGGGGCAGCCCCCAGCCTCCAGGCCCGGGTGGCATTGCTACAGCCTGTCAGGCACATACACGGCACCTGTGTTGGGTGAGGCCCCATTGCCACCTGGGAAAGGTGGGCTGCAAGAGTGAGGAGGGGCTTAGGAGCTGGGGGGAGAGGTGGGGCCTAGGGAGCAGCCCCTTGTCCCAGGGCAAGGAGCCAGAGACCCAGGTCCTGGGTGCCAGCCCTGCCCCACGCCCCACTGACAGCAGCCCTCCCCACAGCCCGCTCCGGAGGGCAGGGCAACATCAAGACCCTGGGAGACGCCTACGAGTTTGTGGTGGACGTGAGAGACTTCTCACCCGAAGACATCATCGTCACCACCTCCAACAACCACATCGAGGTGCGGGCTGAGAAGGTGAGCCTGGCCCTGCCCACCCCTGGGTCCCAAGCCCCCTCCCCTGCCTACCTCCTGCCTAGTCCACCTCCTGCCTGTGTCCCCCACTCCCACCTCCCACCCTGAGCCCCCAGACCTTGGCCAGTGTCCCCTCCCCACCCAAACTCCCCCAGAGCGAACCAAAGGCCTTGCCCCTTGTAGCTCATGAGCCAGGGCGCCCCCCTCCCTGCTTCTCTCCGCCGCAGGGAGCCCAGGGCAGCCGAGGGAGCTTCCGGGGAGTGCGAGAGGGCTGGAGGGATGTGGGCAGGGCGAGACCTGAGGGGTAGCCCGAGGATGACTGAGGGAGATGGTGACGGTGGCATGAGGACAGCTCCTCTGGCAGCCCATGGGGAGTGTGGGTAGGAGGGGACTCGCCTGGGCAGCAGTGGAGGGGTCTCCCCCATGACATGTCTCCAGCCCTCTCCCATCCCAGAGCCAGAGGCCTAGCTCCCACCCTGGGGTCCCAGAACTAGGCCCAAGGCCGGGCAGGGACCCTGCAGTTTAGGGTCACACACGCTCCAGCCCACACTCTCCCTCTGCTCACGGGTCTCAGGTCACTGGGTCCCCAGGGTCTCTGAGTCCGAGCTCCCAGGAGGCACTGAGGCCTCCACCCTGGAGAGGGTGTGACCAGGCCTGAGCAGGGATGCTGCCCCTGGCCTCTCCCTGATCCCCCATGGGCCGGCTTCACCTCGGGCACAGGAGGGTGGACTCCTGGGCATCCCTGCCAGGATGCCAAGGCCTGTGGGCACCAGGACCAGCGGGCAGCACGTGCCAGCCCTGCCACCCCCAACAGTGACTCAGCTGCCCCAAATGCCTCTGGACACCGTGTGCTGGCTGAGTAGTGTGGGAGGGGCTGGCGGGTGGACACCAGTGTGTCTGGGTATCCAGAGGGCATGGCTGTCCTCTGTGTCATCTTCTCCCGCCTTGCTCGGGAGCCCCGGATTCCAAGCCACTGCCAGGGAGCCGCCTCCCTCCCTGAGTCCCACCCTCGCCGAGCCCCTTGCCTGCCCCTTGGAGCTTCTGTAGGCACCCCTGCCCTGTCCCTACACAGCTGCGACCATCACCTCCCTGGCCAGCCCCAGTGCACCAGAAAGCAGAGTCCCTCAGCATGTGGGGCCCGGCCAGGAGAGAGTGGGGAGAAGGGGACTCTGGCATGTCACAAGCAGCAGGGGATGGAGGGCAGCCCGCCCTGACCTGTCACCCCTTCCCCAGCTGGCGGCTGACGGCACAGTCATGAACACCTTCGCTCACAAGTGCCAGCTGCCAGACGACGTGGACCCTACCTCGGTGACCTCGGCCCTGCGGGAGGATGGCAGCCTCACCATCCGGGCACGGCGTCACCCGCACACAGAGCACGTCCAGCAGACCTTCCGGACGGAGATAAAAATCTGAGGGCCTCCCCTTCCCCTGCCCTCCCCTCTCCCCACCGGCTGCCAGCAAAGCCTTCCTAACCCCTTCCCACAGCCCCCAGGACACCAGCCAGGGTTCCAGCCTTGATGCCCCCCCAAACTAGGGCCCTCCACTCTGCCCAGGGCAGGCTAGGGTCACCCTGGCCTCACCTGTGGAGCCCAGATTTCAGACATGACCTCCCTCACTTGATCCCGAATAGAAGGTTGGGGTGGGGGGAGGGAGATCCCAAAGAACCCAGTCTAGGGAGGAGGAAGGCGACAAGCAGGCCACGTGGGCAAATGATCTGCAGGACAGACAGCCAAGTCCTTCGATATCTGCAGTCTCTGCAGGGCAGGGGCAGGGGGACCAGGGACCTGGGACCCCCTTGGCCAAGGGGAGCGGAAGAGGCACAGGAAGGCAGAGGTACCTATCTAAGTGGAACTGCCTGAGGGTCAAGGACACCAGGAGACAGCGGTGACAGTAACGCCCCTCCACCAGTCTCCAAGCCCCAAACCAGCTGGCAGGCTGCCCACTCGCCCTGTGCCCCCAGCCAGCCAGCTGTGCCAGGGCAGGGCCACGTGCATCTATGCATATCCTCCGTGGGGTTTTTCCAATACAGCCTGTTCTCGAGCAACTGTGTGCAATTCCTGCAGCGCGTTACCTGCTGGTGCCTCCAGGAGGGTGGGGCCAGGTGGGGCTCCTGGGGCTGCACCCACTGCAGACAGGCTCACCCGACAGAGGTGGAAGCCAGAGCATGGATGGGGCTCTGGGTCTTCAAGGCTGGAGCCCAGATTCTTGCAGTCTTCTCCTCTGGGCAGTCACCTCCCCCTCCTTCCTCCTTCTTAATGTATGAATCTACAGGCTTAGTGTGCCTATAACACACACACACCCCATCGCTGTCTTTCAAATACTCTGCATTACCATTGGTTGGTGCCAAATGCAGAGCATTCTAAAATCAGATTTACAATCCCCATTTTCATCAATGGGGAAACTGAGTCTGAGTTGTTGAGTGCCTGGCTTTGTCACTGAAGGTTGGATTTGAACCCAGGGTGCCAACAGCTGCTCTCCACCCCCCACCACTGGGCGCTGAGGAGTGTCTCCCCTCACTCTGCCTCTCTAGGACTGTGCACCCCGCCCCACGGCTTCCTCCCAGGGGACAGGGAGAATCATTAAAAAGCCCCCAACTCCATTCCCTCCTGGTCCCCAATCCGGAGCAGGGAACTCCCCCGCCAGCTTCCACCCTGGGGAACACCTGCTGCTCCTGGCAACCGGCTCAGCCTTCCACATACAGAAGCAGGGGTAAGGGGTAGAGGTGGTCTGTGGGTAGACAGGGTCCCCAGGGCCAGTGGCAGGGCCAGCCTCTGCCACTTGAGCCTCTCTGGCCAGTGTGCTATAGGGTGGCCTCTCACTCCTGCCATTCTGGGGCCCTTGGGGGAAGCCGGGGAGCGGGGCGGCGGGAGGTCCCTGGCACGGGAGCCTGTACACACAATAAACGACCCTCTCAGCCTTCTGGAGCCCACCTGCCTGAAGTTCTCAAGCTCGTGGCTCGGCTGGAGCCAGCCCCTGGGAAACCCCGGGACAAACGAATTCACCTTCCCCGAGATCTGGGGGTGGGAAGGTAGCTCAAGCTAAAGCTTAAGACTTCACAGAAATGTGGGTGTCCTTGGCCTCCTCGGGTGGCTCCCCAGACCCACAGGGGCAGGAACCCCAGGATTAGTTCTGTGAAGCCCTTGAAGCACCCCGTCTTCTGACTGCCTGCCCCAACCTTCCCTTTTATTCACTCTTTCGTCAGAAAGATATGTGTTGTCCTTCCACTGTGTGCCAGGCATTGTCCCTGTAAGGTTTTTCCGCAGCGGTGAAAAGACAGAGAGAAAGAGTGGGGGCCAAACCACGTGGCTTTATTACACTCCTGGACGAGGTTCTGGGGCCCCAAGAGAGGGGGCCCCAGAAGTCACCGATGTTTGAAGGGGCTGAGGCCTTTTATACCCTTTGGGCCTGGCTAGGGACTTTTGGCGGGAAGAGCTGGGGATTTTAGGAGGGGCTGGAGGTATCTGTGGAATCCAAGAGCCTAAATGTTTTTATCCAGGTGGACATCTGGGTGTGGTTCCTCTCAGTGGGCCTGGAGGGTCTGTTCTCATGAGCCTTTTCTTTTTTGATCTAGGGAAGGGAGGGGGCCCGCCACCAGCCTTACAGTGCCCAGCACTGTCCCAGGCACAGGGACACAAAGGTGGGCAGGCTGCACCAGGTCGCCTGCCTTTTTGAAGCCCTTCTTGTACAGGGCTGAGGCCCAGAGAGGCTGCGTGACTGGCCCAGGGTCACACAGCCCCTGGCATAGAGCTGGTTGAAATCTGGGGGAGGAGGCTGGGGGTGCGGGGTGTGTGTGTGTGTGTGTGTGCTGACTGGTTTAGGGAGCGTGGGGGTCTCTCTGTAGGAACCCACACCCCTGCACCCCCCAGACACGCTCCCCAGGGCAGCCCCCAGCGGGCTGCGGTCAGGAGGAGGGGGGCGGAGGAGAGGGGGTGCGGTATTTCCAGCCTCCGTGACTCACTGATTCCACTGGGCTATTTGCAGCCCCGACACTCATCGGCGCGAGGTTGGGGGTGGAGCGGCCGGCTAGCTCCCCGCCCCCGCGCCCCCCACCGGGGCAGGCTCACCTGGGCGTCCGATCCCAGCGGGGCCCCTACCTGGCCGGCCCTACCTGGCCAGCCGGGCGCCGCGGGCAGGTGGGGCTGGGAAGGGGCAGCTTCGGCTGAACACCCCCGTCCCCAGCTGCCCCTCCCCAGCCCGCAGTTTGGGGGCGATGAGGGCCGCGCAGGGGACAAGTGGCCGCCAGGGACAGGGCACGTGGGGTCTAAGGGAGCCCAAGGTGACCCCGCGCAAGGGGAGGGCGGACGGCCGCCGGTCTTTCGTCGGCTCCGCCCGCAGGCGCCCGGGCTGGCGGAGGCTCTTTGTCTCCCAGCGCCCCCACCCCTCTCGCGGCTAAATATAGGCCTGGCTGCGGCCTCGGCCCGCCCCCTCCCGGAGGAGTAATTATAGCAGCCCCATTCATTGAGCGCCTAGTGTGTGCCTGGCGCACGCTCTTCCCCACGCAGGTCCTGCAAGGTGGGGGCTATTAATATCGTTGTACGGAGGACATAGAAGTTCAGAGAGGTCAAGCAGCTGGCCCAAGGTCACCCAGCGTGGAAGTGGCACGGTTGGGATGCGAATCCTCGCTGTGGCTGTGGAAAGCCCTCCGCTCAGTCAACACGGATCAGTCCCCACCACTGGCAGCCCCGCAGGGAAAGGGGGCTCCCACGTCTGGTAGCTTCTGGGGCAAGAGACAGGGGGAAATTGAAAACATGCAGCCCTCTGGGGCCGGAGACCTGCGGGAGAGTCCAGTACACGTAAGAGGGGGAGTCACAACTAACTCTTCGGTGTTTTCTCTCTTCTTTTTTTTTTTTTAGAGTCTTGCTTTGTTGCCCAGGCTAGAGTGAGTGCTGTGGCTCAGCCTAGCTCACAGCAACTCAAACTCCTGGGCTCAAGCATCCTCGCTGCCTCAGCCTCCCGAGTAGCTGGGACTACAGGCATGCGCCGCCATGCCTGGCTAATTTTTTCTATATATATTTTTAGTTGGCCAATTAATTTCTTTCTATTTATAGTAGAGACGGGTTTCGCTCTTGCTCAGGCTGGTTTCGAACTCCTGACCTTGAGCAATCTGCTCGCCTCCGCCTCCCAGAGTGCTAAGATTACAGGCGTGAGCCACCACGCCCGGCCTCGTTTTCCCCTTTTGAACAAGATTTTCCTACAGCCTTAATAAGAGGAAATACAAGGTTTTGTTTACCTTTTGAGTAAACTGCCAAAAAAAAGTTGGGGGGGAGTTTGCCTCCTACTGTCTTTATCAGGTCTTTTGACTGTTTGGAAAACTGAGTGTCCTGTCTATCCGAGAGTAAAGGTTCCAAGGCAGTGGGCCTATCACTGTCGTCTGGGGCCTGTAGATGCTTCTGGCCTCCGGGAGGCCACTGGGGCTGGCTGGCCTCCCGTTCTGGTCTCCACCGCAGGCCTGGGTGGCGCAGCGTGAGAGGCCTGGCGTCTCCCCTTCGTCCCAGCCTGGTTTCGGCTGGAGACTGGCGTGCCCAGGAGGTGGTGGCCTGAGTGTTTCTTCCCGCGCTAGACGTTGGCGTGACCAGGAATTCAGACTCACGTCCGAAGCCACGAAAACGTGGCCCCCGTTTCTCAATTTGCTGAACAGAGTGGCTGGGAGAGAATCGCTTCCTAGTGCTGCAGTGCTGCTCTTTCCTTAGCTCTTTGGTTTCTGCTCTCACGGATTCCCTCCTGGGGCTAAACAACCTCTGGGGGCGCTGGGTGAGGGAAGGCCCACTAGTGGAAGGACGCAGGGAGCAGAGGCAGGGGCAGCTCTCCCTTGCAGCGCTGCATAGCCAGGGTTCAGGCCACACACTCTACACGTGGTCCTCACTTCACTTTAGGGGAAGTGAGAAATGAAGCAGTTCTCTTTGAGGGTCCCGGACTCCCTGTCCAGGGTTGAAAAGAGAACTTCCCTAGACTGGGGAGCTACCTAAGATTAGTAAATATCGTGTGAGTTGCAGGGAGCCATGTGCAGGTACTGTGAAACCAGTGAGTTGCAGAAGTTTAGCGCTAGTGAGGTGGCACTTACCATCCAGGCTTAGTTGCCATCTTGGGTGAGTTATTTAATCGTTTATGGCTTTGATTCTCTCATTTCGAACTTGATAGTAGAAATAGTAGGCACCACCAAGACGTATTTGTTAAGCTTTTTGATGCTGATGCAAGAAGGTGTGTAACACAGGTTCTGGGGACTTTTGTATCTTAAAGAGTAGGTATGATTATAAATCAGTAATTAGGACGTTTACAGTACAAGTAGAGAGCCCTGTGTTTCCAGTTTGCTCTGAGAAACATAATAACCCATTTCATATTTGCTCTCTCATAATCTAAATCTTATGCCTTTTTGGTGAATGATGTTTGTAATTAGTAATGGCCTTACCAGACATAGTTTAGTTACATACAAATTGTGGTAGGGGCCAGTTTTGACTGTTTTACATTATACCTTTACTCCGTGTCAGTTTTTTTCCTTCCAAAAAGAAACACCACAGAATAAAGGTTCTTGCTTTTGGAAACCTTTGAATTATCACTTTGGCTAAATGAATGACTATAATTTCACAGTGACCTGTGATCCTATTTTGATCAAGTGTTTTAAACCTTTGATATTTGACAAACTTCCCCAAATCAAATTTCCAATTCTAAAATTATTTTCTAAAAGAAACCCCTGTAAATCTAAGAGAGATATATTAGGCTTATTTGGTATGTTAAAATCATATGGGGGGCCAGGCGCGGTGGCTCACGCCTGTAATCCTAGCACTCTGGGAGGCCGAGGCGGGAGGATTGCTCGAGGTCAGGAGTTCGAAACCAGCCTGAGCAAGAGCGAGACCCCGTCTCTACTATAAATAGAAAGAAATTAATTGGCCAACTAAATATCATACTAGAGAAGAAAAAATTAGCCGGGCATCGAAGCCCATGCCTGTATTCGCGAGCGAGCTGCAGGAGGCCTGAGGCACGTAAGGCATGGCCTTTGAGGCCCACACAGAAGTGCTGAGGGTTGGCTATGTTGCTGAGGCTGACGCC